AAATAGTATGGAGAATAAAACCATTGTTAATAGGCCTGGCGAAAATAAATGGAGTTAATTATGTAAAGATTGGCATCAGAGTTTACAAGGAGTGAGTTCTTTAAAGATCGAATGGAAGGGGTAAAACAATTTCACTTACAGGTTATGCTGGTTTAGAGAGCAGGTAAGTTCATTGAGATTCGGGAGAGTTCTGTCTGTGACACTGTGCGTAACAGTGTTGTACATCACAGTAGCGGCAGGGATATGGCGGAGTCTTGTCCATGATGATGGAAGGTGTCCTGCTCTGGCGCGGCGATCGTTCTTGGGCAGATCTATTGCTGGAAGGAGTGCGTGGCAGCTCCATCTCCGTCGTAGGTGAATACTTCTTCGGGATCACGGTTCAAAGGTTGGCGAGGAAGGGGTTGAGGGCTCGAAGAGGAGTGGTTACAGTTGAGTTGGGTTTGGTCGATCATCGTGGCTTGGTTTCTTGTTTCTTCATACTCCGGTATATGAGGGATTTGCTTCCCGGCCAGGTCTTATCCTGTCGACTCTTCTGTGATATGATCCTGTCGACTTTCAATGTGGCACTATAGTGATAATAATGTGGTGAGTGAGAAATAAGGAAACAACAAGTTTGGAAGGAATTCCAGGCAATCAGCGAGAGAGAGGCAGCGCTAGCGGGCTGCCACCGCGGAACGGCTGTTTGTTGTGCGCGCCACCCCCGACTATCCAAAAATAGCCCTGCAGAGTTCCCAGATGAGCCCCCTCAGGAATGTGGCCAAAATGGCCGTAACTTAGTTGTCTCCTATCGAGTCTCTCTCTCGTTGACTGTAGGTTTACTTTATTATTCCTGGAAGAGCATATATTATGACATACATACATATATTTATGTCGTAGGCGAATGGAAGGGCGTTATAGGGTTGTGATGTTATTTTCAACCATGGTGGACCGTGCCACCATAACTCAAGTAGCTACTTGAAGTAGCTACTCGAGTTTTAGCTGCCAATAGATATACATCATGTATTGAGGAAGTTTGGATTATCTTGATATAAACCATTGCAGCATATGCCCTTTGTGAGGCATCAGCAAATCCATGTATCTCATAAGTTGTAATCTCATAAAGTCTTATCCATCGAGGTATCTGTACCTGGTGTAGTGATGCTAGATCATTTTTTAATGCCTTCCACGATTCTTGTAATCCAACTGGAATATGCTCATCCCATGTTAGTTTTGCAGCCCATAATGTCTGAATCATCAACTTGATTTTAAGCATCACCGGCGCAAACCAACCAAGGGGGTCATATATTTTTGCCATTTGTGATAATATATTTCGCTTAGTTGGGGCATTCTTGTTTATTTCAAATTCCCTCAATCCTATTTCATCATTCTTCGGGTTCCAATTAATGCCCAATAAATTTATTCCCAATGTATTCTCACTGTCAACATTAGCATAGAAAGTTGATTTGTCTGTTTCTTGAAGTGTATCCAATACTGTAGGTTTATTGGAAGTCCATTGTCTTAGTTTAAAACCGCCTGCTTGCAACAATTGGTCTAATTCTCTTATAGGTTTGCGCCCATTTTCTACAGTTTCACAATCAGTCAACAAGTCATCCACATAAAAATCTGATATAAGAATGTCTTCTGCCGTTGGAAACCTAATTTGTTCATCATGAGCCAGTTGTTTCAATACCCTGATGGCCAAGAATGGTGCACAAGATGTTCCGTATGTCAAGGGTTTAAGTTCATACTCCTTTAAACCTTGACCTGATTCATATCTCCAAATTATTCGTTGATATGGAGTATCTTCTGGGTGAACTAAAATCTGCCTGTACATCTTGGTGATGTCTGCAGATATAGCGATAGGGTGAGATCGAAATCTTAATAACAAAGGGAAAATGTCCTTTTGAAGCTTGGGTCCTGTATGTAAAATATCATTTAAAGAATAACCTGTTGTTGTTTTTGACGAAGCGTTGAATACAACTCGAAATTTTGTGGTAGAGCTTTTTTCTTTGATCATAGGATGATGAGAAAGGTAAAATGCTTTATGATCATTTCCGTTTTCCTTCACCTCATTCATGTGGCCTAAATCGAGGTATTCTTTCATGAAATCCTTGTAGGTCTTTTGTTTCAAGATTTGCTCCATTCTCAAAAAAAAAAAAAACAGTTAATGGTTTGAGATTTTGATTCTCAAAGCAAACTGGGGTCCTTAAAGGGAAATCTTACAATGTATCTACCAGATGTTTCTCTCTCATGAGTTGTCTTAAAATTAATTTCATTGAAATCATCTTCAAACGGATCAGGTTTGGTTTTGAGTTCTTCTTCCCATAAGGAAAATATTGTTTCCCATTTATTAAGAGTACAATTGAATGCGTACAGTTTTTGATAGTTTCTGGATTTCTTTTGAAAGATTTCAATTTCTCCAAAGAGCAAACATCCCAATAGTGTTTTAGTTGACCTTCATGTCCATATCTGTTGGCTCCCTTGAATAGAGAGAAGGAAATATCTGCGCCTAGCAATATGTCAATTGGTGCGGTATATTGATATTGTGGATCGGCTAGTTGCAGGCCTTGTAAATGATGAAATTGATGTTCTTCAAATTTTAAATATGGTATATAACTTGTCACCTTATCCACAACAAGAGCATTTGTTTTAAAACTTTGTATTGATTGAAATGGGATGTGAAATTGAGATTTATTACTCCATCGGGTCTGTCCAAATTCTGTCCTCCTATTCCGGCTAATTCTACTCTTGTCCTAGAAGGTTCCAAATTCAGTTTCTTCAAACAGTCCCGAGTTATTAGTGTGGCTTGACTTGCTGTATCTATTAAAGCTCTACAAGGTTTATATTTACCTTGTTGATTCATCACCATAATTGTTGCGGTAGACAATAGTACAAACGAGTCCTCTTGGTTAGACATCAAACAGGTGGTGTTATGAATGGAGGTCACGCTCAAAGCATCATTGTTTTCAATTTGACTCAGCTTGGTTTTTATCTGGTTCTTCAATTGCAGGAATTCTTATTGTATGTTCTTCAAACTGATGCAGCATCAATGTGTTATGTTTTCCTTGACACTTTCTACACTTGAATTCTGACTTACATTGATTTACCGAATGATTGTTCCTTGAACTATTGAAACATAACTTGAGTTGTTTAACTTTTCTCCTTCACTCAAATGGCTTAATGCCTAAAAAGGTTGGGCACTGATAGATTCCATGCTCCTGTTGACATAGAAAACAATTGGCCTTTGTTAGATTGTGTACTTGCAATTTCATGGAGCGTTTAATTAGGGGCAACCCCTTTTCTGTTTCACTCGTATTAAGTGCCTTTGCATGGTTTTCTGAAAAATTCAATAATTCTGAAGAGGAGGGTATGTGATTACTGTCAATTGTCATGTTCCAGCTGCGCTTTGTTGTTTTGTCTAGTTTATCACTCAGGATTTTCCCAATTATGATATCACTAAGTTCATCTAGCTTATAACCAAGTGTTTCTAGAGATCTCTAATGATTTCACATGAAATATCTACCAAAAATAGAAGTTGTGTGGATGATTCTATTGTTAGCGCTTAGGTAGATCTATTATTCTTTGTATTAGGTTAAATATTAAATCTTTTTTATTGTCATATCTTTTTTACAACAAATCCCAAGCCAAAACAAAATTATTTTCTGTTATTGGTATGTGATTAACAAGTATTAAAGCCTTTCCTTTCAGACGAGTCTTTAAATACTGTAATCTATATATATAAAATTGAATGTATGTTTGTTTGTTTGTTTGTACTCTATAGATTCAAAAACCATACAACCAATCGCCGTGAAATTTTGGGATATTATTAGGTATATCACCGGAAAGGTTTTTGAAAAATAATTTCATGAATATCTTGAATATCCTTAGAGTTATTTGCAGATTTGTAGATTTAACTCGCAAACAGCGCCCCCATTGTGACGACGATAACAAGTTTTCTTATCACTAAGAACTAAGATGATTTTCTATATGATATAAAAAGCCAAAAATGAAGAGTGAATGTAATATAAAAAGCCAACAATGAAGAATGAATGTAAGATAAAAAGCCAACAATGAAGAGTGAATGTAAGATAAAAAGCCAACAATGAAGAATGAATGTAAGATAAAAAGCCAACAATGAAGAGTGAATGTAAGATAAAAAGCCAACAATGAATAGTAAATGTAATATAAAAAGCCAACAATGAAGAATGAATATAAGATAAAAATCCAACAATGAAGAGTAAATATAATATAAAAAGCCAACAATGAAGAATGAATGTAAGATAAAAAGCCAACAATGAAGAGTAAATATAATATAAAAAGCCAAAAATGAAGAGTGAATGTAAGATAAAAAGCCAACAATGAAGAGTAAATGTAATATAAAAAGCCAACAGAGTGAATGTAAGATAAAAAGCCAACAATGAAGAGTGAATGTAATATAAAAAGCCAACAATGAAGAATGAATGTAAGATAAAAAGTCAACAATGAAGAGTGAATGTAATATAAAAAGCCAACAATGAAGAATGAATGTAAGATAAAAATCCAACAATGAAGAGTGAATGTAAGATAAAAAGCCAACAATGAAGAGTAAATGTAATATAAAAAGCCAACAGAGTGAATGTAAGATAAAAAGCCAACAATGAAGAGTAAATGTAATATAAAAAGCCAACAATGAAGAATGAATGTAAGATAAAAAGCCAACAATGAAGAGTGAATGTAATATAAAAAGCCAACAATGAAGAATTAATGTAAGTTAAAAAGCCAACAATTAAGAGTAAATCTATATATATATATATATATATAAAAGTCAATTTCTGTCTGTCTGTCTGTTTCGCGATAAACTCAAAAACTACTGAACCAATTGGTACTAAATTTTGCATGTCGCTTTTTATAAACCTGAGGAAAATTTTCGGCTGCATTTTGATTTGTATTTTTGGCTATTTCTTTTTTTCATTTGAAGAACTTTTTTTTTACGCGGACTAATCCGGAATGGAATGAATACCTAAAAATGGCCATTTTTTAAAGCATCGGTGGTTCAGTGGTAGAATGCTCGCCTGCCACGCGGGCGGCCCAGGTTCGATTCCCGGCCGAAGCATTTTTTTTTTTACAATTTTTAAAACTCATTTATATTATCTTATATATATAAAATTGAATGTCTGTCTGTCTGTACTCTATAGATTAAAAACCATACATCCAATCACCGTGAAATTTTGGGATATTATTAGGTATATCACCGGGTAGGTTTTTGAAAAATAATTTCATGAATATCTTGAATATCCTTAGAGTTATTTGCAGATTTGTAGATTTAACTCGCAAGCAGCGCCCCCATTGTGACGATGATAACAAGTTTTCTTATCACTAAGTTTGTTATCTTAAATATTATTTATCAAAAGTAAGATTATCTCAGGATGACACGGCAATTTATTTGCGACAAGAATAATGATACAATTCCAAGGCGAAGATACTATTCCTTTAACTTCCAATTACCGAGGGAACCAATTAATATTGATTTTATTCAACTTATCGAGTATTTCTCAAGGGACCGGGAAAAAATGTTCACTAGATAAAACTATGATTTTCTAATGTAGAAAATTAGGAAAGACAAAATTCAGGATGGCAAGGCACACAGGGACGGGAAAAAATGTTCACTTTATCGAGAGATTCAAATTTACGAGTTTCAAATTATCAAAATATATCTTTTTTATTTTTTAATAAGTTTTTAGAGAATTGTTTTAACAAATGTTCGCTAGACAAACCTTTACTCGGGTAAAACCCCGGGCGAAGCCGAGTACGTTTTATAAGTTTAAAGAGAATTGTTTTAACAAATGTTCGTTAGACAAACATTCACTCGGGTAAAACCCGGGCGAAGCCGGGCACATCCGCTAGTTTTACTATATTTGTTAATTGACTGTTATCAATAATAGTAGTTTTAAAAATATTAGAAAACGAAATCTCCAATTTTCTATTTTTCCATCAAAAATTGGTAGTTCTATTTTAGGCAAATTAGCCTAATTCTTATTAACTGCATTGTTACTTTGAGGAAAATTTGCATCATTGAGAAAAGGCTGAATAAACCGATGAATTTTCACCTCTAGTTTACAATATTTATCGTTTACTTCCTCTATTTGTAATAAAAGTTCGTCTGTGTCTTTTATCCCAATAAAATATTCATATGCTTGTTCCAACTGCTGTTTAATCTTTTCGATCTTTTTTAATATTGCATCGAGTTCAAAACAATCGGCTGCGTTGTTTTCCATTTCCTTTTCCAACTTTTCTAAATTGAGACCTAGTCTTTTGATTCTTCTTATTTCTGTTTCTGGATCCATGAGGTTGACTTACCAATCAGGCTTCTATCCGGCTCGAGGGACCAATGTATGAAAAAGTGAAAGTTATATAGCTTATGATTTTGCTTTGTTTTAAAAATAAATCGATGTTGGTTCCATATGCTTGAATTGAATATTACACTTTTAGTTCTATATGTATTTTATTGCTTAAAAAGGAACACAACAAAACAAAAAAAAACTACTATTACAAAATGATTTGATAACTAACAAAGAAAAAAAAAACAATAATAATGAAAAATGATGATGATAAAAAATGAATATGTCTGCCAGAAAGACGCTTCTATGAATTAAAAAAAAATAATGATTGGAAAATTAACATATAAGCTTCAAACAGTAACTATTTAAAACATGCTGTGGTATAATTTCTCATTCAATACTTTTGTCTGAAGATGGTAACAACGCTGTCACCGAAACGTCACACACATTTGGTCTTATTTACCTAAAGTTTGTGATGTTTTGGCAAAATTTATTTATTTAGATTTGGTTTTATTACCTTGTATTTCTAATATATAATCCAAATTTTATCTAATCATTCCAAACACAAGGTTATAAGACCAAATCCAAAAAAAATAGTGTGTGACGTTTCGGTAACAGCACTGTTACTGCACGTCACACTATTTTATTCATTTGGATTTGGTCTTATTACCTTGTATTTTTAATCTATAATCCAAAATGTGCCTTATCAAATCATTCCAAGAGAATTATGATAAAGTACACAATATTCACATTATAGATTATAAACAAAAAGTAAACAAGACCAAATGCAAATTATTGAAATGCTCGTGGCATTTCGTTAACAACGGTATCATCCATTCCATTCAATACTTTGGTCTGATGATGGTAACAATGCTGTTACCGAAACATCACAAATATAATTTGGTCTTAGATACAAGAAAATAAGACTTAATAAAATTGGATTAGGGCTTATTTTCTTGTATCTAAGACCAAATTGTTATTTATCATAATTTGGTCTTGTTACATTTGTTTGAAGAAAATTAATAAATCTCAAAGGACAAGTGAATTTGATCGGAATAGATTTCGCAGCTTATTCATATCTTTTTGTGACGATACAATTTCTGCTTTGTTTAATTTTAATTAGTGTGAATATAACGATCTACATTTTTCAAGATAAGGTTTACTATTTGATTATCAGAAGGAATATTCCTATTTTAAGAAAAATTTAGATTTAGAACAGTATTCTATATTTTTTTTCTTTCTTAAATTTAAAGTAAGTATAAATTTTATTGAAGTTGTAAAAAGTATATTTATTGAAAAAAAGTATTATTTTTCTATATAACTTGCTACATATATTTTACTATATGTTTGTTCCATGTAATATGTTTATGCTCTAATAACATTTATATTGTAAGCACTAGCTCTGCATTTTCAGTAATTGCTTTTTTAAGGGTAGGCTCAAACTCTTTTTGCTGTCATTTGTTTAGGTAGGGATTATATTTATCTGCTTCATAATATATAACTGCTCATAATATCTACTAGCGGATATGTACCCGGCTTCGCCCGGGTTTTATCCGAGTGAAAGTTTGCCTAACGAATATATAAAATATAATTTTTGAGCAAACATATCCACTCTTTATACTGAATAGATTTTTAAAAAGATATATATATATATAAATAAAAATATCTAGAGATACACTACATGATCTTAGCCAAAAGGCCGAGAAACGATATTTTATAAATAGAGATGACCTGGCTTCGTTTGTCTTCTGCTCGAGTGAATGTTTCACTGGTAGAAATTTGTTCCTGCCTACTAAAAATTATTATCTGGCTTCGCCCGTGGTCTGCTTTAGTGAATATTCCCCTAAAAACTTTGTTTATGTCAATCAAGCATGATACAGCAATATTGTCATCATCATTTCTAACAAAAAGATTTTGCTCAGTACCTGGTTAATTATAATTTTCTTGGTTAAAGCGTGAAAAAACCTCTTCCAGAATTAACTCTCTGTCCTGTTCAAATTTCACGAGATTAGTTACATATTGAGGACGTGCATAGCCGATAAATATATATATATGTTCCGAAATTATAACCTCTGTGAAAGCTTTAGGACAAAAAACAATAGCCATAACTCGCCAATATACAACAGTCAAGCAATATACTCAATAGAATGCAACCAATGCAATAGTATGTACATAGGCGAAACCAGCAGACAAGTAATAGATAGGATAAATGAGCACACCAGATCCATAAATAGAAAAGATTAAAAAAAATCCCTTTTATTCCAACACACACAAAATACAGGTCACACCTTCAACCTAAATAACCCAAAAACTTTCTATACCAACATAAACAACAAACAGAAAAGACTGTACTTAGAAGCTTTTTTTTATCATTAAAACACGCAATCATCAATAGGCACATTGAAATTCCAGAATCATATACAGAGCTCATAAATAGCAATTAAAAAATGTACACTTCCCCATATTTAATACAATAACTCCTATTTCATAACACTTTTCCATAGCCAATTCAAATCTCATAAGTTAAATTATTATATAATAGTTTTTACCTTAGTTTAGAAAGATGTAAATATTCTGGATAAACATTAATAATATTTCAATACTTAGCATATATCAAGAAATTAATAGTTATTTTATAAAAAAATTGTAAAGATGTAAATATATTAGGTAAATATATAACAGCTGCTGACGATTCACCACCATTCGCGTTGCTCCTGTAGAAGGGCCACCATACCCGAAAGCTTGAGCGTTATTAAATGTTTTAAAAAAGAAACACAACCTCGGAGGCTTTATTAATTTGTCCTAAATATATATATGTTCCCGGCTTCGCTCGGTTTTTACCCGAGTAAAAGTTTGCCTAACGAACATTTGTTAAAACGATTCTAGCAAACATCCAATCTCTACTGAATCTATACTTGTCTATACTCTCGATAATTTAATTTTTTTTCCCGGTCCCTTGAAAAATACTCGATAAGTTAAATAAAATCAATTTTAATTGGTCCACTCGGTAATTTAAAGTTGAAGGAATAGTATCTTGCCACAAACGAACATTTGTAAATAACTGTATTTGGCGAATGTCCCCGGCTTCGCTCGGTTTTTACCCGAGTAAAAGTTTGCCTAACGAACATTTGGTAAAACGATTCTAGAAAACATCCAATCCACCTATATATAGATTTATAAACCTTTATGTATAATTGTTGCAAATGTGATCCTGCCAACGTATGGATAAACCGGCAGTCGTGTACGTGAGGCGAGTGTTGATGTTCTTCCCACACGAAATAGATGAAATATATAAATTTAAAAATATCTTAAACTATTAAAAATATTATTATCGTTGCCAATATATTGAAATGATTTAAAATGATGAGAAAGATAGTTGAAGTTATAATATGTGTGTAATAAGCCTAGAGATGATGAAGATTACGATTTGAAGAAAAAAAAAGGATATAATTAGCTTTTATTGGCTGTCGGCATTGCTAATGATGGTTAATTGAAACACAAATAATAATAAATAATTATATAATTTAATAATGTTAAAATGTTCTATACACACCTAGTTGTATTAATTGAAATAGTAATGGGACAGGTGGAATGAATAACCTGATGAATTTACAATAATTATGCTATTGTCATAAATAGGGTATCGCTTGAGTAGCTAATTTGATGGGGGAAAAAACGGAGATATTGTTGCATTATGAGAGTTCTGTAGAGAAAATTATCTTACCGGATGGATGTCTTGAATGGGTCTTGTGGAGTTGCTTGCGATGAGGCTAGG